GCTGGCCCTGGACATTGCTAAAAGGGAGAAACGGCCATCATTTTACCTCTATACAGACTCATGGATGGTTGCAAATGCCCTATGGGGATGGTTAAAAGGATGGAAACGGGACAACTGGCAGCGCCGAGGGAAGCCTATTTGGGCTGCAGCCCTATGGCAAGACATCACTGCCCAGCTGGAGACATTAACAGTGAAGGTCCGGCACGTTGATGCCCATGTTCCTAAAAGCCATGCCACTGAAGAATAGCAACACAGCCAACAGATGGACCAGGCTGCCAAAGTATTCCAGAGAGATTTGGACTGGGAGCACCGAGGTGAACTGTTTCTAGCTCGGTGGGCCCATGACACTTCTGGTCACCAAGGGAGAGATGCCCCATACCGATGGGCCCATGACCGAGGGGTGGACTTAACTATGGACGCTATTGCACAGGTTATCCATGACTGTGACACATGCGTTGCCATCAAACAAGCCAGACGGATGAAACCTTTGTAGCATGGAGGAAGGTGGTTGAAGTACAAGTATGGAGAAGCCTGGCAGGTTGACTACATCCAACTCCCTCAGACTCGTCAGGGTAAATGCTTTTAAATGCAGGGTAAAAGCATCTTTTTCTCTATTCCTTTTTTTTTAATCCTCCCCTGGGAGGGTGGGGGACAATAGAGAGAAAATCCTGCTCTCTGAGCCTTAAATGGAGACACCTATTATCTCAAACACAAAGTAGTTTAATACCCACTGCTCAGATTTTAGCACTTCATGTACATTTACAGCAATCCTGAACACTATCATACTCTAAACAAGTATTTTTTGCCTCCAATGCTTTGGCTTTCTGTCAACTTCCTTATCGCAATGAAAGCTTACAGCTTTGAGGAAGATCACCAGAATGAAGCACATCAGTAGATGCCTCTTACTTCCAAGGAGAGATCCACCTCCCTGCCATTTTTCAAATACCATAGAGAGCAACGCCTAATTAACAGCCCAGAGACTGCAATTCCTGCAGCCCAGGCCCTGGCATTCAGAACCACACACAAATGCCCTAAACGTGACATGCACAAAGGTACGCGAAGGCTCAAGTTTTAGTTCTACATACCCAGGTTTGTCCAGTGATTGTATAGCCTGCTAGATTAAATGCTGCAGCAGCAATAACTGATGGCAAGTATTTCAAGTAAGGATCAGCATCAATTAGACTCAGCTCCCCAAGGTACTGCAAGGGAGACAAGAGACAGTGAATCATTTGCTTCCAAACATAAGCAGAAGAGCATTTAACAGTTGCACAGGGACCCTAATTTAACTTTCCAATCCTGCCATCAGTTGGAGGAACAGCTTTTACTAGTTTCCACTTACTGAGTTGGCCCACACATTTCTTCAATTAATGCTGTACAAGACAAGGCTGATACTGATCAAGGGATCAGTGACACAGCAAAACACGAGAGCCGACACAGCAAACCACTATCTGCAATTCTGAGTTCCTGAACAGCAACAAAACATGAGCAATATACCCCTAAAAATCTCTCTTTTAGCATCTACTGTTAGCTACTGTCAAACAGTGTCCCCACACATCCTTTTCCAACACCACATTTTATATTTAGAGGTATGTAAAATTTAGAGGGATGAATGTAGCTTTTGCACAATGAGACAAAGGTTTTCATCTAGGAACTCTGGTACCTGCCATACAGTTAGGATTTAATATAAATTTAGTTGAAGCATTACCTGTGCTCTGCTCTAGAAATTAGCCTCTGGATTTAGAGCTCACTGCTTGTTGAGAAGAAAACAAAAACAAAAGTCCTTTTTAGCCAAAGTGGGTAGGTAGGTATGGCAGTTTTAGATAAAGAAAAACATCTAACAGTGAAACAAACCCTGACTTAAAATTCATCTATCTCTGCCTGCTCCAACTAAACATGCTTGAGCCAGAGCAAGTGCCAGCCTGCAACAGTAGTGGAGTATCTCAAGCAGTAATTGGCAACAGGAGAATTAAGTCTCTGGTGGTGTGGCACCACTTCTGGAAGAGCACATGGCACACTGTATGCACACTCCAGAAGTCTCCCAGAGAGACCGCACATTTAAAAATATAAGGAGGCAGGGAATCCTGGGCTGAAGAATCCTTTAGCATTGCTTTTCTACTGGCAATAAGAAACAGAGCTTGTAAAGAGCATTAATAGCAACACAACTCTCCAGTTACACAGGCCAAGCTAGTAATTCCTACTTACCATTGCTAAGCTCTCCACTCTAGCACTTGTCTGCTGATGCAGGAAATACTGATTGAGGAACTGGTTGATTGTTGGAACTGCCAAGTCGAACGACAAAACCTTCAAAATTAAGCGCTCCATCCTTAGAACTTGCTTCTTGGTATAGGTGTCATCTGTGATGTAGACAAACTCTGCTACTTCAGGAGGGTAGATTTCTTCAAACTTTCTGCCAGGAGAAACAGTTATGAGCAAATAATTGGGTACTAGAGAACCAGATAAACAGAAACATTTTATGAAAGCCAGCAGGCTAAATGAAATTCTGACTTGTGAAGTAGCTGGGCACTGTTACTGAGCAAGTTCGCTGAACTTTATTCAGTAACTCTTTGAATCAGCAGAATTTGAAGTTAGAGCGCTACTACAACCTGATATTTTAACACTGAGCAATCTGGAACTCAGTTGCTGAAATTCCAGAAGAATCCATTAAATTAACAATTAGTGCAAGCAAAACTTTATTTTCACATGCCTTGTGCATATTCCCTCAAATACTATTTAGAAGTCTGCTACTGCTGCAGCTAGAAATAATGAGTCCTCACATTAGGTTCAATCTACAACAACAGCCTAGAACCTTGCTTGCAGAGGTTCATACAAACTGCTAAGCTTTAAGGTGGATAACTCCTGCTTTTTATTCTAGTGTGAAGCCCTCCCAAGTCAATTTGGCTATGAGCAACAGAAATGTGATAGCTGCAAGATTTCCATCTGTATGAGACCAACAAGTGGAAAGTTAAATTAAGCAATTTAACTTACGATGCAAGCAACATAGCTGCAGTGCCCACAAGCTGAAGTTTTCCTCTTAAAACAGACATTGAAGAAAGAAACCTATCAATGTAATTTACAGCTAAGTGCAGAGTTTCATTCTGTAACTTGTATTCTTCCCCAACTTCCACCAGCCAGTCCACAAGAATAGCCCGCATGTTGTTCGTGATATCAGGTTGCTTCTCCATGTAACCCACTTTCGGTTTGCATTTCACCTGTAGGTTTAGGTGACAAAGAAAATTGAGTTTGGACTAAATTCCTGGACGAAGCAGCTTTAAACAACATTTACCAGAGTTTAAACAGATCAGAAGTAAACAATGGTAAATCTAGGATCTGTAAGTTATATTTCCATAATCTTTGCTTTCCAGCTTGTGTTCAGCATATGATACAGTCAACTTCATCACAAGAAACCTGTCCTGAGTTCACAGCAGTGAACACAGTATCTTATTTCTCATTTTCTAGCAAGCTTTACTTTAGTCTTTGTAGTCATAAATAATGTTTAGATGCATTTCTCAACCCCAAATTTTTCCCTCATAAGCTGTATGCATACAAAATAGATAGCTGCTCACCTCCATTTGCCTAAGGTACGTGTGGATACTGCTGACATAATCTGGAACATTATTAACATTTGGTTTTTTCTCTTCTGGTTCTGAGGTTATTGAAATATCCATAATACTTGGAGAATCTAAGCAGAAGATAACAGCCATGTTAAAATGGGCACCATCAGACCACACCCTTACAGCACAGGGAACTGCCCTCTTCTGTAGTGCATGATGGTGGATCTCCAGGACTGCTTGGTCTCTTGCCTTCTGGGTAGGCAGAAAGGGCAGACTATCACTCAGCCAAACTGGGAGTTGAGGAGACACTAGGGAAGGCAAAACACTACTGCAACAAGGAAGCTTCCCATTCCCCTTTCTCTTCTTCCACCTAGGAAAAAAGGGATGGAAAACTCTTTTGCAATTAGGCAGTGCTCAGCACTTTCTGTGCTGGCTTGTTACATAGACCTGAATCCCGCAAGCTTAGCTATTGCAGCTTAAAACAGGACTGGAGCACCAGAGCTTTTTGTAGACCACAGAAGTGGACAATGATGAACTCAGCCCTCAGATATTCATGCATGCTACAGGAGACGTATCTATCAGTTTCCATTTCTTACACACTGGGAAGAACTCAAAAACACTTGCACCTGTACAGGATATTACCTGGGAGAAAAGTCCATAGAATCATAAAAAGGGTTTGGGTTGGAAGGGACCTTAAAGATCAGATCCTCTGCAGGGACACCTCCCACTAGACCAGGGTGCCCAAAGCCCTGGCCAACCTGGCCTTGAACACTTCCAGGGAGGGGGCATCCACAACTTCCCTGGGCAACCTGTGCCAGTGTCTCATCACCCTCACAGTAAAGAATTTCTTCCTAGTATCTAGTCTAAATCTACCCTATTCCAGCTTAAAACCATTCGCCCTCGTTCTATCACTACCTGCCCTTCTAAAAAGTCCCTCCCCAGCTTTCCTGTAGGACCCCTTCAGGAACTGGAAGGCTGCAATAAGGCCCCCCCGGAGCCTTCTCTTCTCCCAGCTGAACAGCCCCAACTCTCTCAGCCGGTCCTTGTAGGGGAGATGCTCCAGCCCTCTGATCAACTTTGTGGCCCTCCTCTGGAGCTGTTCCAACAGCTCCATGTCCTTCTTACGCTGGGGCCCCAGAACTGGTCACAGTACTCCAGGTGTAGTCTCACAAGAGCAGAACAGAGGGGCAGAATCACCTCCCTCGCCCTGCTGGCCACACTTCTTTTGATGCAGCCCAGGATGCAGTTGGCCTTCTGGGCTGCAAGCGCACATTGCCAGCTCATGTTGAGCTTTTCATTGACTGACACCCCCAAGTCCATTCAGTCCCAGGATTTGCCTGAGTAAAATCCCCATCTAACTCTATAGCAGTAGCAAAGGGTAAGGCTTTAAAAAGGCTGCTTGTCTCTCTCATGAGGTACTGATAGTTAAGGTTAAAAGCATAAAACTACCTACAACAAGCAGGCATGTGGTGGTGCAACTCCCCTCCTTGGGCCACATTTTCATGTCAACACCAGCCACTACAAGTACAGTAAGCTAAAACAATCCAGTATCTTCTAGTTCCAGAACAAGTACAGTGAGTTGGGATGGCGCTCCCTGACTGCATCTGAAACTCCCATTTGGGAAATGAACCCGAGACCCCTCCTGCCCTGATTACAAGCCCACTCTGAAAGCAGCCACAGTCACCTGACAAGAATTGTGCCCACAATAGTTCTGACAAAAGTCAGCTATCTTGGACCCTATAAGGAGTGATCCCAAATGAGACTCTTTGAGCTCTCTTGAATGAGAGCGGGCTACAACCACCATCTCCCCTGAGCTGCAGCACCTCTTGAGTATCAACCCCTTGAGGTTTAAAGGCTGTCCACTGACAGGGTGAAGTCAGTGCTTCTTGAGTCTTAATTACCACCTGTGGAGGAATGCTGATATATTATGAAGGATTGCTCTAAACTCAGGAAGAGGAAAACTTTAACTATAAGCTAGCTTCTTCTGTCCACCTCTTTACTTACCTATGTCTTTGAATATATGCATTTGCCTTCATGAGTGTGGATGACTATATATTACTGGATCCAAACATTATTGTCTGTCTCTGCCTTTGCACATATGTGAACACAAAACATACATATGTTTTGATTTAGGAGACCATGTAGCAAATGAAACTCTATAATCCTGTTAATGTTTACCATTACTAGGTCTTCTATTGCAGCTATATCATATCTGTGTGAATACCTCATTCACAACAAAGGGATGAGTGCATAGCTCAAGCAATGGATAGCTCAGCTAGATGGAAAAGCTGCTGCATTGTATCATCACAAGCTGCAGGCTCAGAAGAGCCAAATCAGTTTCAGCAACTGAAAAGTCACCTCCTGAATTAAACCAAACCAGTCTATGTCCCAGACAGCTTTAGGCTCTACAGTTCTCTTCCAGTGCACTCTAGAAACCACTTCCCAAGTCACACCTCTGCATAGGCCTGCTCACCTTCACGTTTCCTAGGGGAAGGGCTCTGCAAACTCAGGCGAGATGAGTCCCACAGAGCGCACCAAGAGCCCAGGGCAGCGCTGCCCTCCACCACAGCCCTCCCCCGGGGCAGTGCTGCCCACCCAATGGGCAGGGGACCCTACGGGTGTGCAGGTCGGCTGGCGGGACGCGACACCAGCCGAGTCCCGG